GTATGAATCTATCATAAAATGTGCTAATTAAAAACTCATAAAGAATTTATAGAAAAAGATGGGAATTAGTGTAAACAGACTTGAGGRACACCAGTGTGTGGATGAGGAAGTAGTATCAAAATGTCAAAGCTGGAACTACAACAGTTAATTATTTTCAGGTTCCAGTTCCCCGCAGTGTGAGCTGTGCTTCTAGGCTGGCAAATATCAAATGGTGCTTTGCTCCATTACCTTTGTAATCCTAAAGGAAAAACCAACAAAATCCTCTCCTGTAACTTGGAAAATAAATCTGTACGAATACTTTGCCCTTGAAAATAGAGGATTTTTGTGACAAAAAAAGCTTCTAAACTCTGATTGTGTCTTGTTAACCAGGGCTGTCGATAAAAAAGCTTGACACCTGCTGGAGTCAGCAACCAGGTAATCTCCTGAATTTAGGCGGTTTCCTAATTCCATAAAGTCTCTACAGTGAGCCTGTGCCACACACTAATGCAGCTGCCTGGTAGGCTTAGCTAGAAGTTTACAGCAATTCAGAAACTTAGCTAGACGTTTACAGTTCCTTTTTGGATCCATCTGTAGCCAATATATTCAAAGGACTCACTCCAGGGTAGATCAGGCTGCCCCAGAGACAAAAACGCTTTGCTGCATTTCTCCATTCCCTTTAATGGCAGCTAAGGAAATAGATGCAAGAAGCTTAGACATCACTTTGTGTTTTCTCTGTAAGGTTGATGACTTCTCTGAATCATGGCTATTATTAATTTATCCAATTAAAACATTCTCATGTTCAGTAATCTCAACTGTGGCTTTCTCTTTGCTTGACAGTAATACCTCTAGACATTAATACCTCTAGACATTAATACCAGAAAACAATATGATCTGTRTTTTRTWAAGTCRTAGAACTCCAGAATGGTTTGKGTTGGAAGGGACACTAAAGTTTATCCAATTTCATGGTGTGCCAGGGGCACGGGCTCCTTCCACTATCCCAGGTTGCTCCCAGCCTCATCCAGCATGGCCTTGAACACTTCCAGAGATGTAGGGATAAAATAACCACCCTTCTCTGGGCAACCTCTGTGCCAGGGCCTCACTGACCTAACAGGAAAGAATTTCCTCTCAATATCCCATCTAACCCTGCCCTCTGGCAGTGTGAAGCCATTCCCCTTTGTGCTGTCACTCCAGMCCCTTGTCCAAAGTCCCTCTCCAGCTCTTCTGGAGCCCTGTTAGGCTCTGCAAGGGGCTCCAAGGTCTCCCTGGAGCCTTCTCTTCCCCAGGTTGAACACCCCCAGCTCTCYCATCCAYCCTTTCCTCATAGGAAACCTGAAATACCAGGTTTTATGTGCTATTGAAAGATTACAAAGAAAGGTGATGTTTTTTCTTATGCCAGCTGGTACCACTGGAGAAAATAAACACATTTTTGTGCTTTCACCATGTTATCATRATTATTCTCAGGACAACTAAGCATCGTGCAACTATCAGCAACCAAAACTAATCAGACTATCTAAACCACAAGCAACTAAACAGAGATTAATAACAAAATTTTTAGAACAAGCAGTTCCCTAATCAGACTTCTTAAATTATTATTTTCATTTACATGGTTTCTAAATAACAGAGAGACTGAATAATTGCAGTCTACCTCCAGATCCATCTGACCATTTAGTTAACCTGTGAGGAAATGCCTGAAACAGCATTTAAGATCTACCAGCAAAGTTACATAATCCATTATAGAAATATAAAAAAGAATTTTTCAGCAYGTACTTGAGAAGATCTAGGGAGAGTTACAAGAAGACTGCCTCATCCAGCATAYACAATGTTTTCCAGTCAAGCTGTGACATTGTACTTGACTGCCCTGTAGTCCTCTTGTCTTGATCAGAGAAACCAACAGGTAACTCAACACACAGAAGTTGATGAGGAGCATGCCCAAGGTAGGGCCACAAATATTTGTGTAAAGGCCCAAATGCACAKTAACTTTTAGTGAGTTAAAGGAGCCCAAAGCAGTCTTCTTTCAGCCCTATTAACAAAAGATGCTTCCAAAAAACCTAGAGGAAAACAAGTGAATGGGCCTGAAGTAAGATTTACATGTGAAGACTGGAGAATTAACTCCCTCTCAAAAGACAATCTCTCTTTGAAATTAATAAACCCATAATGGAAGAAAAACAAGTAATTAGTCTGGAGTGAAGATCACTGTAGAACTACTTACAAGACATCAAAAATACTTTAGTTAAGGTTCTATCTTCTTCTGGATAGAGTCTGTTGATAGCACTGTTCTCAAAGAACAAAGCATATGAGTTTATAGATACTTTAGGTTTTCAGACAATTTTTATTCTTCTGAAAGTCATGATGAGGTAATCTATTAGGAATAAAAGCTAAGGTGAGATGGCTATCAAGGCATTCAGAGTTCTAATGATCTTACTTCTAAAATTCATTTCAGTGCTGCCAACTCAGAGAAATAATATTCTACTGAGAAAAAGAATTATCTTCATATGTCAATGCTGTGACRGCTGCCATGCTACTGAACAAGCTCTGTCTTGAGTCACCTCTCTYCTAATACAGCTGTATTTTTGGAGTAACTGTAATGGAATGCTGACTSCTTGACACTCCTGCCATTTCCAGCTATCAGGAAGCTGCTGAATATGGGCAGTTGATGCCAGAAGGCAGATCAACACAGAAATAATGAACAGAACAGAAAACTGTTTGTAATAAATGTTAAAAAAAAAGTAAGGGTACATATGCAACCATAATCAAGAAATGCAGGGCAATATTTATGTACATACCTCAGGAATTGTTTTTTTGATTAAGAACATCTCACACACACTCCAAAAAGAGCCTCTATTTATTTGTTGTCACAAGTGGACCCACTCTGGTGATGAATTACAAATAGGGAGCAGAAGAGACCCCTGGAGGTAGAGCCTTGTTTCCTTTGTTTCCTTGTTCCAAGACCGGGAGAATAGGCATTCTATCAGCCAGAATTTATTATTAAAGAAAAACCTCTTGGAGCATAAYATCTCAGTGCTGTGTTGAGACTCAGTACTTGCCCCACTTTTGCCCAAAATTACTTTCAGGAAAACAGACACATCCCTAATGAAAAAAATGCCAAAAGCAGTCAGCTGAGTTTTCCTTACTGTACAGCTGCCTGCATTACAACTTCTGACTCMATATAGAGAGATGCAGAATTACAGTTGCAATTAAAGGAATTTGAGAGTTTAATGTGAATACAAAATAAATAATAAACCAGGTCACAGTCTCAAACCTGGCATTCAAACTGAGCAGCACTTCTGACCTCAATCTCTTTGTGCTCCATTTCCCTAGTTAATAATAATTCCCCATCTCAGTGGGGTGTTATGAAAATCAATTAATATCTGAGGCACTGAAATACTGTAGTGATGAGTCCTACAGAAATGCCAAATAGGAGAATAATAACAGTCTCAAATCCTCATCTGAATGGTGTCTAGTAAGGCACAGGGTTACACAAAGCAAAAATAATACAGGGGAAAAAAAAGAAACTCAAGGTAGCTCATTAGATATGCACTATTCCTTGTGTACACAACCAGGCAAGATCCCAGGAAGAAGACAACCCAAAATGACAGAACTATGTGTGATCAAGAATACATAATTATGTGTATGAATAGGCAATTTTCATCCTGTACTTCACATCTAAAGGCTTATCTCTAACCTTAAACTTATTAAAATTGGGCTTTATCCCATGTGTTTACACACAAAAATATGATTTGCATTTTCCAGTGGAAGGCATCACTACTCATGGCAGAGGGGTGGAACAAGATGAGCTTTAAGGTCCTTTCCAACATAAATCAGTGTGGGATTCTCTGTGCTGGAGACTCAGTTCAAGTTCACTTGACTGGTCCATTTAAAAGGTCTGCATCTCTGGTGATGCTCAAACAGCTGATTTTGCATCACATTGTTCTGCCTGTACTTCTTCTCCTCACTAGCTAAAAAAAAAGCTAGAAYCAGGGAAAAATAAATCAAAATGGACTTCCAACAACTAAAAKTACCATGCCCTAGAAATCTGGTGTGTCATGCTTCTTRAGGATTAGATACTGAAACTTTTCTRCATGTTGTGTAGAAAGTAAAAATCCCTAGGCTGATGCCGGCATCCATCACTTGTTTAGCCAGGATGTGAAAACACACCTTCTGCTGATATCTGGAGTTGGAGCTAGCCTCAATAAACTACCTCCTAATCCTGAAAAGTCTTAAACACTGACTTGCCAACTGCATGTTACTGAAATTAGGACATTGTGTAAGTACCCAAGCATTTGCTGAAGGAACAGATTTTTGCGTATTTTTTTTGTTCCTTGAAGTTCTTAATGGTTCTGTGCAGTTCCACACACACACATGGGAATATGAATAAAAACTTTAAACCCCCTAAAACACAATCACAAACAGGCAAAAAATACAGAATACGCAAAAGTGATGAGGTCAGGCAGCCTGGGTTTGAAATTATCTGCACAACTGGCATGTAGCTCTGTTCCCTGTTATTACTGAGGTCCTACCAAATTCCTGGTTTTAGTGAAATCTGACAGCACATTGTGCCAACACATYTTATACACAACACAATCCTCTCCTCATTTTCCATACACATTGTAACCCTCCAA